AACAATTGATGCTACTTCAGCCGTGCCAGATCTCTGGTCAGGCACATTAAGTCCTCTTTGCACGGCTGGTCTCGCTTTTATGCGAGCTATCCAATTCTTAATATTAGGATATTCATCTAGAGTGGAGACAGATATGGATGAATATCAAGCCACTGTAATAGCATTTCATGTTGTTGAAAAGATATCGCTTTTTACTTACCAAAATTAATGTTTATTAAGGATGCAGCATCAGCCCACGTAAAGTTAATAATATCAGCAAGTGTCAGTGAATCTCCCACAAGGAATTCTCTACCCTTCAGCCTGTTTTCAAGCACCTATTAATTGAGAACATAGTCAATAATGAACTAACGTCAAAGCATGCTAATAAACTGCGCGTATCAGCAACAAAACTTACACTCAACAGTCTTTGAGTTTCCTTATAGTATCGACGAATGCTATATGGAACCTCCTCTGGAGCCTCCTTCAGAAAATGATATGCTTGACCCAGCATCGGACCCAAACCACCGATTTGGAACATCATCTATAAAAAAAACGTGTCAACTTAATCAATAAAATATCTGCTTATCAGCTCTCTCTCTCTATTACGCAATGCAAACAACATTTTGATATGCGTACCCATTGGATAGTCTCGCTACGCAGATTAGGATCCTTGGATAACAGTTTGCCTTCTGGGTCATAATGTTCGCCGAGATAGAGCATGATGGCAGCACTTTCAAATACGCTGAAATTATCACGCGAGTGATCAACTATGGCCGGTATTCTAATTAATAAAAAATGTAAATACGCTTTATAGAAATTTTTTCGCAGTGTTTCTCGATCAGTATTATTTGGCGATACTTTACTTTCCATTCGGATTGATTTTCAAAAACCAATCTTTTTTTTGCTCCCCTGAAGTCAACGCGATCTTGTGGACTTTGTAAGGAATCCCTAGTTCTTCTAAAGTGATGCTGATTTTACGACCCTATCAACAGTGAACGTTATGTTAGACGACAATCACGTACTACATTCAGTGAATCGTGACCGAATTCAAACATTACGTACATTAGGTGTGTCAAACGTATACAGAGTGATATCAGGAGTAGCAGACATATTAAAATTGTGAGTATACTGATATTCGCAATGTGGAGATAAAGCAATGGACTTGCCAGTTTTATAGTTTTTTTTTGCTGTGGATTGATGACAAATCTATCGTCGAGAAAGTTCTAATATAACATCATTCGTCATCGTGCCTGCATATTGTAATTTGTCTTTACAACTTGGAGTTTACTACCGGCCTACTAAACCCGGTTAGGAATTGTGATCATATCTAAATTATATAACAGCTTCCGTCATCGCGCTTACTATTACGTTGTTGTTGGAACTTTAAGTTTAACCGATGTCTACTAACCTATTCAGGAATTTTAATTATACGTCTTTGTTTTGTCTTTGTGCGGATTAAGATTTTAACCGGTGTTTATTAAATTTACCAAATTAGGAATATAAAATCATATTAATATCTATAGATTTTCGGTTAAAACCGTAGAATTGATCGTCGGATTCGTTTTTCCCACTTTTTTGTTTATGTCGCACAATAAATGTAGCTTTTTGTAGCCGAGAGTGGATAGAGTTTCGGAGAGTTGAGTTATTCCGTGACGAATTTTGTATTAGTCAGCGTCCGTATTTATTTTATAAGCTTTAAATAATTGGCTCTCAATATTTACTTTAATTAACAATTTTCGTATATTTTCTAATACAAAGGCGGCTAATTGTAAACATGCATGACTTCATTTCAGCATCTTGTTAACTCATCCATGTTGACATATGTAAAAGCACATTGTATAATTCGAACCTTGAAACAAGTTCAGATAAACTGTGAATTACGAGTTTATTTAAAAAGAGTTTGGGTTGCTAAATTATAAGAAATGGAAGTGTTAACATTGTAATATGTAAATTGACTTCATTTGTATCATGTAACCGTGCCTGCAGCTGAATCCAAATCATAATTAGTTTTCGGTTTAGGCAAAGCTCCAGTAGGTAAGGATGTGCTAGAGTATTTACTCTCTTTTTCGAGACGTGATAAAGGTTTTACATCAGTATGATAGATAGTACTCCACACGCTGTCACCAGATTTATCCTCTTCCACATCTTCAATAAGCTTGAAAATATCCTCGCAAAGTGTATTGCCATCCTTTGCACGCTTATCAGGATCAGCATCACAACATCTCTCGGCAAGTTTCTTGTATTCCTCTGGCGCAGAATCAGGCATCGACGGTCGCAGTCCCTCACAAACACGTATCGCCA